ACTGGATCCCATTTGCTAATATTACTGCTTCAGTTTCTTTAGTTGTTATCGGCCTATTCAGGTTTTCTGATTCTTTCTGATTCAGTTTTGAAAGATTGTAGGTTTCTAGGAATTTGTCCATTTCATCCAGGTTGTCCAGTTTGTTCGCATATAATTAATTGCTCATAGTATTTTCTTACGATCCTTTGTATTTCTGTTGGGTCAGTTGTTATTTCACCTTTATCATTTCTGATTTTGTTTATTTGGGTCCTCCCTCTTTGTTTCTTGACCAGCCTGGCTAGTGGTTCATTGATCTTGTTTATCTTTTCAAAGAACCAGCTCTTGGTTTCATCAATATTTTGCATTGTTTTTTTGTTTTTTTTTAGTCTCTACGTCACTTATTTCTGCTCTGACCTTTATGATTTCTTTCCTTCCACTTATTCTGGGGTTTTCTTGTTGTTCTTTTTCTAATTATTTTAGTTTTAGGGTTAGAGAATTTATTAGAAATATTTTGTTTTTTGAGGTAGGCCTGTAGTGCTGTGAACTTCCCTCTCAGGACTGCTTTCATTGTGTCCCACAGATATTGGGTTGTTGTGTGATCATTTTCATTTGTTTCCAGAAAGTTTTTGATTTCTTTCTTGATCTCTTTGGTAACCCATTCATTGTTTAAAAACATGCTTTTTAGTCTCCATGTGTTTAAATGTTTTTGAGGTTGTTGTTTTTTTTTAATTGTAGTTGATTTCTAGTTTCATGCTACTGCGATCCAAGAAGATGCTTGATATGATTTCAATCTTCTTGAACATGTACATACTTGTTTTGTGGCCTGAGTGTGGTCTGTCTTTGAGAATGTCCTGTGTGCACTTGAGAAGAATGTATATTCTGCAGCTTTGGGATGAAATGTTCTGTAAATGTCAATTAAATCCATCTGACTGTGTCTTTTAAGGTCACTGTTTCCTTGTTGATTTTTTGCCTGGAAGATCTATCCAGTGAAATGAGTGGGATGTTCAAGTCCCCTAGTATGACTGTATTGCTGTCGATCTCTCCCTTAAAGTCCTCCAGGAGGTTTGTTTTTTTTAAATATATATTTAGGTGCTCCTATGTTGGGTGCATATGTGTTTACCAGGGTTATATCCTTTTGTTGGACCAATCCCTTTAGTATTATGTAGTGACCTTTCTTGTCTCTCGTTACGGTCTTCATTTGAAGTCTATTTTGTTCAATATGAGTTTTGCTACCCCAGCTTTTTTTCTTTTCCATTTGTACAGAATATTTTTTCCATCCCTTCACTCTCGCCCTGTGTGGGTCTCTTGTAGACAGCATACATATGGGTCATGCTTTCTTATCCATTCAGCTACCCTATGTCTTTTGATTGGAGCATTTAATCCAATTACATTTAAGGTTATTATTGATAGGTACTTATCTATTGCCATTTTATTCTTTATGCCTATGTTTCTCTCTCTATTTCTACTTCTAATTAAAGCAGTCGCTTTAACATTTCCTGCAATGCTGGTTTGGTGGCGATAAACTCCTTTACCCTTTTTAGTCTGGGAAGCTCTTTATTTCACCATCTATTTTGAATGATAGCCTTGCTGGACAGAATAGTCTTGGTTTCAGATCCTTGTTTTGCATTACCTTGAAAGCTTCATGCCATTCCCTTCTGGCCTGTAGAGTTTCTGATGAGAAGTCAGCTGACAGCCTTTTGGGAGCCCCTTTGTAGGTAACTGATTGTCTCTCTCTTGCTGCCCTAAATATTCTTTCTTTGTCTTGAACATTTGCCATTTTAATTATGATGTGTCTTGCTGTGAGTCTCTGTGTTCATTTTGATTGGGAGTTTCTGTGCCTCCTGAACTTGTGTGGCTTTTTTCTTCATTGGGTTAGGGAAATTTCTGTCCATATTTCTACAAACAGGCTCTCTATTCTTTGCTCACTTCTTCTCCTTCTTGGACCCTTATGATGCAGATGTTGCTCTGTTTCATGTTATCCCACAGTACCCTTAAAGTGTCCTCATGCTTTTTAACTTATTTTTCTTTTTGTTGCTCTGATTGAGTGATTTTTTTTACCTTTTCTTCTAATTCACCGATTCGATCCGAAGCTTCTGGTAACATACTGTTGATTCCTCTTGGGAATTCTTTCTTTCAGAGATGCCAGTCTTCATTTCTGACTGGTTCTTATTCATGGTTTCCATATCCTTCTTCATGCTGATGTGGTTCCCAGCAAGTTCCCTGGACTTCTCATTAAATTCCTTGTTGTTCTAAGTTGCTTGAGCACCCTTATAACCATTACTTTGAACTCTATATCTGATAAATTGCTTTCTTCTATTTCATTTAACTCTTTTTCTGGAGAGTCCTCCTGTTCTTTCATCTGGGGCCTGTTTGTTTGTCTCTCCATTTTTGCTGTGTCTTTGTGTTAGTTTCTGTGTATTGGATAAGACTGCCCTGCCTCCCAGTCTTGGTGGGGTGGCCTTCTTGTCTAATGGTGCAGTCTCCTTGATCTTTTGAGCTGGGTGCTCTAGGAATGTCCCTTGTATGGATTATGTTGGTCCTCTTGTTGAATTTGGGTCTTGATTGCTGTGTGTTCATGGGTGGGCTCAGCCCTCAGGCTTGCTCACTGTGAGTCGCAATCTTGACCATGTTGTGCCAACTGTTATACAGCCTCTGACAGAACAAAACAAGATAAAACCAGACCAAACCAAAACCAACATAAAAAAAACCCAGCAACGATGATAAAAGCAGCCACAACAAAGAAGCTTAAAAAAAAAAGAAAAAAAAATATCAATGGAAATAAGAGACAGGAAATAGACTATGTATTAAAAAAAGAAAGAAAAAATAAATTAAATAATAATTTAAAAGTAATAATAATGAATAAATACAATTTAGAATAGGGAAAGAAAAATGGAAAAATTAAAATTAAAATTAAAAAGTAAAGAGAAGGAGAAAAGAGAATAGGCTAAAAGGAAAGGTAGAAAAAGAGACAGAGAAATAGAAACAAAAACAAACCACGAAACCCTTTGGATCTTCTGTTTGTGCAGTTGCTGGATTTTTCTCTGAGGTTTTTGAATCTGGTCCCTGTGTGTCCAACCTGGGCCTTCCATGGCCCTCGGGTGCCAGCCAACATGAGTCACTGTCTCTGGGCAGCTTCACCTCAGCTGGCAGGGCTGATCCCCTTTGAGGTGCGGAGGGTGGGGCCTCCGTAGCCTAGAGGCTGGGTCTGTCTTGGGTCTCACATCTTGAATGTCCCTCTTTTAGCTGCTCTCCCTTCCCCCACAGAACTGGGCTCTGCAGGGGTATCTGGGCCTAGCCAGGATGGTTTAAACAGACTCCTGTTGGGGATGGTGCCCGTTGCTTGTAGGAGGCAGGCAGGCACTTCCTCTCCTTCCAATGCCTCAGCTCTGCCTAGGTCACTGGCACCCCGTTGTAGGAGGAGATACTAAAAACACACACACACAAACCCACAACCCAGCCCCCCTTGGCCCTCTAATCTTTTAGCATGGCCAGCCCTTGTGGAGCAGGGCTTCTGCCCCGGCTCCCACCAGGCCTGATGTTGGAGTCCCCCATGCCGCCAGGCCGAATTGCACTGGTGCAGAGTTCCAGCCCAGGGCCTTTCCACAGGTGGGGGAAGGGGCATCTTCTCTTCCCTCGAGGTGGGGGTGATCGCTCCTTTTTCCCAGGGCACTCTGGCCCTCTTCCGGCTCTCTGCCAAAAGTGCTTTCAGAAAATAATCTATTTCTCAGATTCACTGCTAAGTAAACCAGTCAGACCCTTCTGCCAGTCTGGAGTTCCGCTGTGTGGCCCCTCCTGCAGACACAGACTGGGGCAAACTTCCCAGGCTGGTGTTGTAACCAAGCAATTGCTTTTTGCCTGGGATAGTGCAGTCTGAGTCTCCCAGGTGGACCAAATCACTGCTGATTCCCGCTGCTGGATGCTACCAGGGCTCCCCTTCACAGCTCTGCACAAGTTGGCTCACCCAGTGAGTGTCTTCGCCTGTTCCTTCTCCATGCTCCCCACCCACAGTATTTCAGATCAGCTATTTTTCCAGCTGGTTTTTCAAGTTGAATGTTCTGCAGTTTAGTTGAAGGTCCAGTGCTAGGAGCAAGTGGATGGAGCTTCCCTAGTCTGCCAGCATGATAGGATCCTAATAGCAGCATTATTAATAACAGCTAGAAAGTAGAAACAACCCAAATATCCATCTAAGTGGATAAGCGAAATGTGGTATATCCATACAATACATATTAATTGGTCATAAAATGGAATGAAATACAGAAACTTGCTAAAATATGGATGTTAAGTGAAATAAGTGAGAAAAAACACACCATATATTGGATGATTCTATTTTTATGAAATGCCCAGAATAGGTAAACCTATAGAGACAGAAAGTAGATTAGTGGTTGCCAGGACTTGGAGGGAGGGAACATGGGAAGTGATTGTAATAAGCATGGGATTTCTTTTTGGGATAACAAAATTGGACAGTGTTGGTGGTTATGTAACCTTGTGAACATAATAAAAACCACTCAATAACAAACTTCAAGATGGTGCATTTTATGGTATGTGGGTTATGCCTCAATAAAAATGAATTTCCTAAGTGAATTAATGATTTTCAACTTATTTGTTTCATGGTGGAGCTTGGAAGGCCAGATTGTTTAAGGGTGTGACAGAGGTGGTTGGAGGAAGCAGCACAGTGTGATAAGGAATACGGGTATTGCACTTCTGCAGGGCTGGATGAAAAATGCTTGTTAATCAAGACGCTCCCACTGCTAATGCCACTCCACTGGCCTGGGTGCCACCTGGGAGGCTGTTTTAGATTCTCTCCTCCAGCTAATAAATCAATTTGGGAAGTGAGTGTCCTCTCCCAAGCCTGCTGGAGATGGGCTTTTACAGAAGGCAGAGTGCCTTGGACAGCAGGAGCCTCTGACTGATGCGACCGGCTTGGCTGGGGCGAGAGAACCTGGCAGGAATCCCAGAGTGACGAAGTCACGCCAATGAAAGGGCGGGAACGGGGTAAAAAGGAAGAGAGGCATAACCTTTACCATTGTGTTTCTGCAAAAATCCGATGACTTTTTCCAGCACGGTGGTTTTGTCCATTTTCCGTGTGTTGCCAGGGAGCATGGAGCTTAGCTCTTTGATGAGAACATTGAACTGGTCCCGCCGCTTCTTCTCAGACTTGTTTCGAGAGGCTCTGTGAACACAGGACGCACAGGTTACTGGGCATTCTTCCTCATAAAGGCTTTCTTACGGGGCTTCCTAGCAGCGCAAGCTCTGTTGTGATCACATCAAGACTCAGGGAAAGTAACATTCCCCACAGTTCAGAACTGAATAAAGGAGACAGAAAAATGTTTTGTTAGACCCTTGGCCACAAAGAGAGGCAGCGTTAATAAGTAAGTTCTGCCTCATGCAAAATTTTACACAGATTAGCTGTCGCCAGATGCCACTCACTCTGACTTCATAGAGCTTGACCTTCAGAGAGCAAACAACATGCCTTTCAGATGCTGCAGCCCAGAGGAGTTTGCTCTGATAGTCCTTCCTCAGCCTCAAACCATGTCCCCCAACACAGAAAATCCAGCCTCTGGTACCAAGTCACAGAGGGTCCTGAGTGTCCAGCATAGCCAGTGCCATCAAGGGCATGTGTCCTGGCCACTGCCCCAGAGCTTGTTATCCTGCCCAGGAGACAAGGCAGGACCCACATGAGACCATCTGCAAGTCAGGCCCAACCCAGGGCCAGCAGGGGGCAGGGACTGCTCTTGGCTGTCAAGCTGGTAAGAGTGGCTGAGCTCTTGAAGATGACATAGAAGAATCCTCAATGGATGTTACTAAGTGGGAGAAGCCAATCTGAAAAGGCTACACACTGTATGATTCCAGCGACATGACATTGCGGGAGAGAGAGAACTATGGAGGCAGTGAAAGCGTCAGTGGCTGCCAGGGGCTGAGGTGGTAAAGGAAGGATGGGTGGAGCACAGGGGGTTCTGAGGGCAGTGAAACTACTCCGTGTGGTACCATCATGGTGGGTACAAGTCATTAGACATTTGCCCAAACCCACAGAATGTCCAGCACGCGTGAGCCCTGATGCAGACCACGGGCTCTGGGGGATGACGATGGGTCAGTGTAGGTTCCTCAGCTACAGCAAGTGTACCGCCCTGGGCGGGGGTGTTATAATGGGGGGCGCGTGAATAAGTAGGGGCAGGGGTGTATGGGAAATCTCTGTACCTTTAGTTCTTTTTGTGAACCTACAAGCTCTAAAAAATAAAGTTTATTAAAAAACTGATACACGACACTGAACACCTATAGGGACCAACTGGAGCTGCTCAGCTGAGGAGAGGGGAGCCCCCTGGAGGCCCCTCAGAGGAACCCCAGGATCCCAGGGAACTTGAATAGAAACACTTAACGCAGGAAGCCTGCCCTCGCCAGAGGAAGCCTGGGAAGCAGGGCCACTTCCGAGGCCGCGATCCTCACTGACCCCACAGGCCCAAGGGCTGGCTCTCAGCTCCACAGGACAAGTCCCTCATCATGGGTCAGCTTACTCAAAGGTGATGCAGGGCTGGGAAAGCTGACCTACCCCTCCCAAATTCACCCAGGACAGAACGTCCCAAAAGTCAGCTCACTGAGAGATCAGGGGCCAAGCTGCAGGGCCTGTCAATGTGCTCCAGGCACCCTGGGGCCTGGGATCAGGGTGCTTGGGGTTGCTGATCAATTATCAGGAGGTCACTGGCAGTCAGGACAGGGTTCTGGTGGCTGTGACAACTCAGCTTGTTCTCATCAGAGGACTCACCTTGCTTGGGGTAGGTGTCAATACCTACAGGTGTCTGTATCAAGTGAAGGTTCTGTTTCCCCAGGCAGCCCTTGGAAACACAGGGAGACATCGCAAGGACCCTTTCCTCGATGGCGTGGTGGCCATAATGCCTCTGCTTGCCTCTGACTGATAGCACACAGCCTGTCTCTATGTCAACACCCTGCCTGTAAGCCATCTTTTGTTGACTATAGCTCAGTTTGGGCTGTTTTCTGACAATACCTGACGCAATTCCTCCAAGCTCACAACCCATACCTCAGGGCCCCTTCCTTTCCTGACTTCCCCCTCATTCTTGCCTTGCGGTTTGAGAGGGCCTGAAGCCCTCGGGGGGTTTGTACACGGCCTTGCTCCTCCCCGAGGGCCGTTCAGGTGGGCGNGGGGGTTTGTACACGGCCTTGCTCCACCCCGAGGGTCGTTCAGGTGGGCGCTCGCAGTTGCACACTGACTGAGGCGCAGCAGGAAGGCGCTGGGTGCCCTTTGCGTGGCCCAGGGTGAAAGGCAGTGCACAAGCACATGGGAGAGAAGAGAGGAAGCGTTCCGTGCTTCCAGCGGCTGTCTGCATTATACATACTTTTTCAGCCTAGATTTTAAAGTGACATGCAATCTCCTTAGCCAGAAAAAAGCTCTATTCCTGTCCTACTCCGCCCATATAAATGATCTGTGAGCTGAGGATGCCCAGTTCGCCGTCACTCCGTAGTCTTCAGTGGTTGAATGACAGAGAACGTGGCCTGGCAGACGACATGGTGAAGGCTCGTCTCATAACCTCAGAAACAGGCCTCCACCTGCAACACACTGGTGCCCACTGGAACTTGGTCAGATCAGCTGGACCCACAGCTCTGCAGTAGGAGAAAGACGACAAACCTCGAAGGGCCTTATTTCCAATAAGGAAGTCTGCTGGCCAGGCCAAGACACCACTCCCAAGGCACCAGGACAAGCCTTTGGGTCTGTTTCTCCTTTAAGGCATTATTTACATTCAGTAAAATTCATCCATTGTAAGTGTATAGTTTGATGAATTTTGGTAACTCTGAAACCACTACCAAAACCTGCAGGTAAAGTGGTTCCCTTANCAAAACCTGCAGGTAAAGTGGTCTAAGGATTTCTCCGACGCCTTTGTTGGTGACCTTTGATGACAGCCACAGAAACCACTGTCTGCTGTTACTTCAGTTCTGTCTTTTTTAGAATTTCATACAAATGGAATCAGAGTCCATCGACTTTCATTCAGCATAAAGTTTCTGAGATGTATCCACATTGTTACATATATCAATATTTCTTTTTTTTAAAAAAAAATATATCTTTATTGATTTCAGAGAGGAAGGAGAGGGAGAGAGAGACAGAAACATCAATAATGAGCGAGTCATTGATCGGCTGCCTCCTGCACGCCCCCGACTGGGGATCGAGCCCGCAACCCAGGCATGTGCCCCGACCGGGAATCGAACCCTGATCTCCTGGATCCTAGGTCGACACTCAACCGCTGAGCCACGCCCGGCCGGGCCATATATTAATATTTCATTCCTTTTAACTGCCAACTAGTATTCCGCTGGGTTGTTTCCTGTTTGGGGTATTAAGACTAATGCTGCTCTGAATACCCACGTCCACGGCTGTGCTGACAGAGGCCGTCACGTCTCTTGGGTAAATACACAATGTGAAGTTGTTGAGTCATGTGGTAAATGTACGTTTGGCGTCATCCGAAGCTGCCACCATATTGCATGAAGGGGCTGCACTTTTTTGCAGTTCCAGGAGCAAAGCATGAGGGTCCCAGCTGCTTCACATCCTCACCAGCACTTGGTATTATCAGTCTTTTTCCCCTTAGCCATTTAGTATTATCTATTCTGGTTTAAATTTGCATTTTTCTGGTGACTAGTGATGTTAAACATCTTTTCACATAGTTGATACTCTCACAGATCATCTCAAATCTTCTGTCCACTTTTCAGTCAGGTTGTTCTTCTGATTGAGTTTAAGAGAGAGAAAGAGAAGAGAGTTGGGATGAAGGGAAGGGGGTGTGTGCATGTGTTTTAAATACACATTGATACAAGCCTCACCTTTCGATTTTGAATGCAGGGCTCAACGAGCCCCAGGTTATCTTTCCTGGTGTCCCTCAAGGGACATTGGTTGCATAGATCACATTGCGAGGCATTTACTATATAAGAGGCACCATCTGAAGTGCTTTAAACCCTTAATTCCTTTCATCCCAAGGTAGGGAGGTTTCATTCCCATTTCAGATGAGGCTGAGGCACCGAGAGGCGTGTAACCCCCTGATATCACACGACGAGGGACTAGGAAGTGGGGTGCAGGCTGCTGGGTGCCCAGGATGTGAAGAGACGACCGGCTCTCTCCCCTCCTCAGCTCCCTCCAAAACCACTGTGAAGGCGTCTGCTCCGGAGCTTTGCAGCCGTGTCTGGGAGCACAGGGCCCGGAGCGGCGAATTCTGCACCGGGAGTAAGTGCTGCACAGAAACGGCCTTGCACGCTAGCAGGACGACAGAATTTGTTTCCAGGTGAGAACACTCCCGAAATCAACTAAGAACACCTCAAGAGCTGTTACGCAGGCACAGTGAGACACAGGCCAGCAGGAAGTTCAAACAAACTGCCAAGGAGGTTCACCGAGAGGGGCCACGCGAGGAGTCGGGCGCCTGCAGGGAGGGCTGCCTGGGAGCTGGCCCCAGGGGCGGCCGGCAAGTGGCGGGGGCAGCAGAGAATGCTGAGGGTTGAGTCTGACAGGACAGCGGGGACGTGTGGGAAAGCAGAGTGGCGGGGCAGTGAGGCCAGGCCATCTGGCCTCAGCTTCTGGATGTGCCTGGGCAGGGCTCCTGGCGAGTCTAGGGCAGGAAACCGGTTAGCACGTCCGGAGATGGGGAGGAGGGACCACATTAGGGGAGGTGAGGAAGACGGGGGCAGGCAGGGGTGGCTGGCGGGAGCAGCACGCGTCCTGCGGCAGGCGCTCTGCCCCCAGTCAGCACCGGCCGCGCCTGCTGTGGGCAGGGGCAGGGGAGCTGGTGGGGCCAGAGGCAAAGAGGCCCCGACCGAACTCCATTTGTCCAGAAAAAGTACTGCTGATGGTATATACCTTCCAAAGTGTTTTCTTTTTATCTTCACCTGAAGACATGTTCACTAATTTTTTAGAGAGAGGGCAGGGGAGAGGGAGAGACAGAAAGCGGCAGAGAGGGAGGTGGAGAGAGGAGAGAGGGAGGGAGAGAAACGCCGATGCGAGAGGAACATCCGTCGGCTGCCTCCTGTATGTGCCCTGCCCGGGAATTGAGCCCGCGGCCTTTTCGGCATAAAGGGTGACGCTCCAGCCAACCGAGCCACGCAGCCAGGGCTACCTTCAAAAGTTTTTACTTAAAATTAACATACAGTAAACATGACTTTCTATTTGGGCACAGGCCTATAAGTTTTAGC